CAATCTGAAGCTTTGGTTAAAAAAGGTTTAGGTCTGTAGGCTTAGTTCCGTATAAGCGTTTTGTATTCACATTTGCATTTTACAAGTAATAGCAAAATTTACAAACATGATCCGAATTTGCATTTATTCAAGTTTGCACTTTTATGGGCGAAACCGAATTCTGCTTATGAAGATGAGCAAAAAACATAAGCTGGCATCGATCTGCTGGTGTGTACCACATCCTGTGACTGTAAGTAACCACAGAAAAAGCTGCTTGTTGAGCCAGCGTACCAAAAATTTCTTTCTCGTCATAAAATTAGCATTTAAATTTTCAGGACAATAAAGGTTTTTTTTGAAATTGTAATGATTGAAAGATATATGGAAAATTTGGCGCATTGGCGCTGGTCGTAAGCAAAATTCCGAGCAAAGGCGTGAGAATCGAGGTGCGCCCCTAAAAGAGGTGTATCCCTTTTATCAAAGTAGATTTTGCTTTAAAACAGTATGGTTAATAATGGAGATGTAGCTTAGAAATAAATGAACCTGTGCTGGTTTTTCGTCTGTTAGACAGCATTTGAATCGACTGGAGCATTTTAGAAAACATGCTTCACCTTGTGGCATGCGTGCTGCAACAAAATCAGTAGGCACTTTCCAGTTAGAAGTCAGCACAAACTAAGCGCTCTACAAATATAGGATTGCCAACTCATAAAATAAATTAACTTTTCAGATGCTACAAGCCAGCGAAGATGTAGCTGAAAAGGGTGGAGAAGCAACCGATCCAACGAAGGGAAGCGGAACTGGTGAGCACGGGCCAACGGAGAGCCCGAAAAATGATACGATGGAACACGTAGGCTCTACAGAGAAGCCTTTGGAATCAACGAACGTAACGAGTTCTGAGCAGACAAATGTAACTCATACCGAATCTAAGCCTCCACCGGATGGGACAGAAGGCCAAAAATCTGATTCCACCACTCCTGCTGCAAAGCACACTGATACTGTATAAACTTTAGCGGAAAATAACCAGTGTAGAATTTTCTCAAAGCCTCCCGAGCCGAATTTTCCGTGAACTGAAAGCAGACAATGATGCGTAATCGATAGCAATTATCACTCATCATAATATCGCTGATT